CAGCAGTTGGCATTGTGGGCAGGTTCCTGAGTTAAAGTTCCTAGCCAGAAGTTATTGTCAGGATAATAATCTGCTTATATTAATTTGTTTGCTTTTCCCCTGTGTTTGTTTCTTACCTGTGCTGTCTTTCTGAGATAGGATGGACATAAAATCAATTGTTTAATGTCAGGTGTCTGGTGGATTCTCTTTTAAATTTGTTATTCTACTTTTCCATGCTTATTTCAAGCTAAAAATTTTAAAGGGCTCTTTTGCCATGCAGGCACCCTAAGGACCAATCTTAACAGATCTCTGAGGGTAAACAAATCTTAACCCTGCAGAGAATGATGGCCCATCGTGAGAGAGGGTTTCCTGGAGCTTTTGGTTTATAATTAACAGAGGCCCCTGAAACCTGATGTAAATCCCCAAAAGAGCTTTCTTCCTTAACCACTAAACCTATCTGAGAAGATGGGCTTATTTTTAAGGGGGTGGAATGCCTTGAAAACATCCTTCACTTTATATTTACTTCACAGCTTGTAGTAGGCAATATCTCACTGGTGGAACAGGCGCTTGAAGAACATTCTCACGCAAAAAGCATTGTGAAAATAGTTGCAATACATCCAGCAACATTCACCTGACAACAACTCTGCCTGAGTAAGTCAGCATCTGTAGCACCTAGTTGGAGGCCCCCAGCTGTGGGAACTCAGCAGGAGTCCGTACATGCAGCTCAGGTGAATACTGAAGAAGGGATCTGGGAAAAAATGGAGGACAACACAATCAAGTGAGGTAAGAGTTAGGGTATTAGTCATAGATTTGTACATAAAGATCTTTCCCCCTAGTTCTGCTACAGAATTAGAAATGTAAACTGGAGTATGCCTACCTGGATTTGGGTACTCATGCTAAGTTCTGCTTTGAGCCCCATTTGTGGCTGGATTTGTTGCTGGTTGTTGACCTTTGGTGGGACTCCACAAATGCTGCATAATCTTGTAACAGGGTTATGGGGAATGTGACTTTTTGAGGAAACCTTTTCATCTTGTGAAGCTTTGGTACATCTCCAAAAGAAGCCATAATCAGGGTCCTGAAGATGTAAAGGAAGTGCTTTTGTAGTGGTGAGCAAAGGTGAAGTGTACATGGGTAGTGCTGAAACAGTGTGGAGCCATTTCCTTTTTACGGACTTGATCCTGTTATGCATCATTCATTTTTTCTCTGCTAATTCATTTGGAATTTCAACCTCAGTATACTGGTTGAGAGCTATGATCACTTGAGCTTTTTCTATAAAAAGACTTCTTACTAGAAGCAGCATTGTAACTGCCCCCATATGTACATTTGATACCTGTTCAGAACTTGCAAAAGAAGGTTCCTGAAATTTCAGACTTTTCTATCAGGTAAATTCTCTGCCTGTTTTGATTTTATTTGGTTTACATTGATTTATATATGTCACCCAATCCAATAAGTTTTTGTTTTATACTAAAGCATGTCCTAAATAATAATTCTGGAAGGAAGGGAGGTAAGAACTGCTGTGAGAGAGAGAAATCATATCAGGCCAAAGGCAGGATTGTGGAGTGTTAGTGCCTTTTTCTTTTCCTGTTTAATTTTCTTTTTCTACTTCTATGACAGACAAGCCAAAAAAATAGGCTATCATTGAGCTAAAAGCTTTTCACTTATTAACACTCTAAATACAGAAATGGAATCACCTTGTAGCTGTGATCAGTGAGTACTGCAGTTTGTCTGATGTGCAATGTCTTGCATGGGTGGTGCTTCCTCTTCTTCCCGTTAGTCAGAGACACTTCTGTGGTTCTGTGGAACAGCAAACATTTGAAGTTTCATTGCTCACACCTTTTATTCTGTTCACAGCTGTACTGCTCTTTGAAGTTCTCTGAGCAAGAAACCACTAATCACAGGTTTACCTGTTAAGATTCAAGTACAAAACTATGTGAAAAATTAGGACTGCTTGCAGGCAGAATAATTGTTTTTAAAGTAAAGGAGACATCTTCAAGGAACAACTGGTGACATGATCTCCATTGCTGACAGAGATGGATCATCACTTAGATCTGTTATACTTCCATGAAGAAAGTGTGATGTCAGGTTTGTGGATGCCTATCCTGAAAGCATGTGTGAGGCTTTCCATGAGAGTGGAAAAAGTCTCCTATTTTCTCCCTGCTGATAGATAGATTTGTGGAAAGAAGCAAGCTTGGCTTTGCAAGATTTTTTTTTCTTTCTCTTCCTTTTTTTCCTCTTATTTGCATTTTTTCTCCAAACTGGAACATGCATTAGTATTTGCTAATTCTTTCAATTCTTTAAAATTTCTGTAAGGCAGGTGTATTGATGTAGCAAAGCAGAGGCAAGCAGCTTTGGCTTGATTGTTGCCAAGTAGCAGGCAGCCTTTGTTTTGATTTGAACAAACAACTTTGAGGTAGGTTTGATTTTCAAACAGATTGAAAAGGATGAACAAATAGATTAATGTGTTAACTCTCTACAGTTTATTAAGGAAATCAGAAATTAACATTGCAATGATTATATTGCAGGCATATAACAATAAATCAGAAGATTAATTATGACACTCCCTCTCCATTCAAATCCTCCCCAGGGCCTGAGCCTCACCACACTGCCTCCACCCTTGCTCCCAACTGCAAGAATCCATTTTCCTCCCAGGAACACATCACCAAGAGTTAGCATCCAAAAGAAAAGAAGCTCCACTGAGGGTTATTCTCTGGGCAAAAGTCAGGAGGGAGCCCAGCTCAGCTTAGAGCCTTGTCCTGGACAGTCCACTTGTAGGAAAGAGAGTACACCTGTTGTTATGTGGGGCACACATGCACACATATGTCCTCTGCAGCTTTTTTTCCAGACTCACATGAGCAAAACAGAACTACAGCAGCCAGTGATCTGAGGCAATGTGTATAGGGAACTTACAGTTCCTTATAGGCAAAGAGCAAAACTCAAAGTCTGCTGTGATTAGAGATATTTTTCTGCTTTAATAGATAGCCTTCTGCTACTGATTAGGGCTTGTGATGAATGAATTAGCCATCATTTTTCTGCAACCACTGTAGGAACAATATGTGAACCTGTGAAAGAGGAAATAAGAATATAAAGCCACTCACATCTAACAGCAAGAAACTGGAGGGGGGGTGTTAACACTGACACCAGCAAAGATGTGTAAAAAACTCTGTCAGTATAATTTCTTCAGAGCTTTCCTAGGCTGGATGAGGGTGCCAGAGTACTCATGTATTTTTAGATATCCTTACAGCTTCAGATATAGTTCTGGAGGGATCTCTCATGTAGAAGTGAGTTATGAAGCAAATCTTATTCCCCTCTACCTCTGCACGATCTGTCAAAGAATGTAGGAGAAGCATGTAGCTCTGATTCAGGAAAGAGAGAGAAGAGAGAGACTGCATCCTTCTGCATAGCCTTAACTTTGATGGGAGCAATTTCCTGCTTCCTCTGACTAAAGAAAACTAGCAAGTAAAGAAAAACAAAAACTTACATGAACTGCAGAGTTGCCAGGGCAGCGTGAACAGTCCAGTATTGGGGGATATTAGGGTTATGGAGACACAAAATATGGTGGTGGTGAGGGAAAGATCCAGAAATACAAATCATTCTGCATAAAATCATAACCTTTCCCCTACTCCCCCCCCCCCCCCCCCCCCCCCCCAAAATTGTTTTGCTGTTCTTGCTTGGTCTTCTCACTTGGAATCTCTCTTTGTGCCAAAGCTGCCCCATTTATGAAATAGTCAGCCAGGCAAGACCTGCCAGATGTACTGAAAGCTAGTCCTGGTTTGTGTACAATCTGCTATCAAGGGGGATAGAAAGCATTTCTTTCTGGGCCTTCTGTCACTGTGGCCTGATCACTGTCTCCAGCTGATGTTGTATATCACTCCACCTTCCCACTGGAGCAGTTAATTCCTGCAACCCACTTCCTGCACTGCAAGAGCTCCACCAAACCCTCATAACTTAAACCCCATTGTGTCAATTTTTCAGAGTCTCCTTTTCTCTCTTCCTTGCCCATGCTGCTGGCAGGAAAGGCTGTACAGATTGGTGACTACTCTGGGATTAACTTATTTTGTATCTGTCCTTTTCTGTGTGATGAGAAGCTGGGATCCAATTTTGGGTCCAAGACTAGTCTGACAGCCATTATGCATTTGCAGATTTAGCTGAGAGGAATTAGGTGCTTTTGAGAGATTTTCAAGTTAGCTGCTCAGAGACAGACATCCCCTAGAGGTGGTGCCAATAGTCACAATTAGTTGCTAAAACTTGTTACAATTAATATGGTCACAAATTAATATTTGAATTTTACTAGACAACAGATTTTTTTTAAAGGGGGACAAATCTCATGCTTAATATAATAGCAGTTATAGACCCCCTCAGTGGTCTAAAACCAAAGCCACCTAGGAATATAAGAAGGGGGTACTGGTTTGAGTTCCTTCTTCCACATGTTTCCTTGTTCCCCTCACCATAACTTCACAATGCATTTGCACTCATTCTCCTGTAGTATGAGAAAACAAGTAGAACAAATGTATTATCTAAGGTTACCCAGCTCCTCCTAAGTGCTATGCTCAGTAAAGTCCCAGGGGCTCATGGATTCCAGCAGCACAAATGGGAAAGCCCAAACATTGCCCCCACTGCATTGTCTGGCCTGTCCATTGACTGGGTGTTAAGTGCTTTTGGAGAATAAATAAGAATCACCTTTTAGATCTTGCACCACCCAGCTGAACAGTTTAGAAGGTACCTCTAACTACTTCTCTAAAAAAACTCAATGCATTTTTCAGACTTTCTGCTAAAATGTTTACAAACTGGTGAAAAGCATTTGTAAGGTCACCATGAATGCCAAATCTGCTCATCAGAAGATTTTTAAGAGCTATAATGCTGACAACTGTGCTGCTTGGGGGATGAGGCTGATGGGCTTTGATCAGAGCACTGCTAGACAGGAAGATATCCTGGCATTAGGTTCTCTGTAATGCAGCTTCAAGCATCTGAAGTTATTTGCTCCTTTCCTACAGCATTTATGATCAAGGCTCTTGCAGACAGAGTGGTTTAACTCGCAAGGAGATTATTTATTGCATCTTATGTAATTTTCTAATTAAAAAATGAAAATTGTGTTCTAAAATATTCATTGTGAAATACAACATTCTTCATCCTCCCCGTGTCTCTTACCAATGGACCAAAATCTATCATTTATGAACAGTTTTCATGAAACAAACATATGCTGTTAAAGATCAATAGGAAGACAATAACTTTAATAGGTAAAGGTCTGTATGGTACAGGAGATCATGACAGGGATTTTTTATAAGGGTCCTTAGAATGATAAACTGTATCTACAAATTCCAGGATAACCTCAGCAGCAGTCACCAGCCCAGTTATCAAGCACCTGTGAGGACGTTCCATCCGTTTTGTACAAAGGAAACTGTTCTTTGCTTAACCCACATTAGTCATTCAGGGTAAAGTAATTCCCATATTTCATAGTATAGTTGAACAAAAAGAAATCCATTTCGTACAATTTTTTAATCTTCTCAATTTGTTCTGAGGTCAGTTGTCTGAGGTACTCTAAGGTAATATCACCATCAGTTCGTTTCTCTGAGCCGTATCTTTTCAAGCTGGGGTATTGCAGGCTTTCTGGTGCACCAATGACCTTCAGAACATGCTCAGAGTCCAACCCAAGAGTTTCATACTTACCCACAATATCATAGTGAATGTTGCAAGGATCGCAAAGCAGAAACATTGGTTTCCAGTGAATGTCAAGAGTATGTGGTGGCTTTGCTAGAATGAAGTTGACAAACTCCTGGAAACTCACTTTTTCAGGAGAATTTTTATTTTTCCTGAACATTGCCCTAATCTCATTAGCAATAGTGGTACTGTAGAATGGTTCAGAGTGCAGGAGTTTGTCTCTGTAAGCTGAAACCAGCCGTTCCAAGGGATGTCTGGTGAACATCACTTTTGTGTAATTGCTTAGGAATTCCTTTTGTAAGGCAGGAGGGTAAGACACCAGCCTTTTGATTAGTGAGGTATGGTGGATGTTGTCATGCTCAATTTCAGAAGCTTCTGCATTCAGGTCTGATTGAAGAAGAAAAATAGTTCTCTTCCAGTTGGAGCAGCCTACCTTAGGCACCTCACAGTAGATAAATTTATGCTTGTGCTCCACAAAGAGCTGGTTTGCAACATGAGAATCCAATTTGTTTCTTGGTTTATTAAGGTTATTCTTCAGGCAGACAGAAGCCAGTGTGGTTTTCCGACCATTTTGAATTGCCAGCCAATTTTCAGTAGGATTGGGAAAAGCATCTGTAACCAAGGAAGAAATTTAAACCATTTCAGTGAAATAGGCTTGTATAAATCTGTTTATCTGTGACAATCATAGCACTCAATCTATCATCCTGCATACAAAACCTAATGAAGGTACTAAAATATTTTTTTTGCTGTAACCAAGACTAGACTATGGCAAACATGCAATAAACTACCCTCCCTAGTGAAACATTTATTAAAATGAAAACTTTCAATATGTTAGCAGTATTAGTCTAAGCAAGTTTGGTGGTCCAGCATCATGTTTTTGTAGTGCTCTCCTCTCATATATTGCTGAGATAACTACCACAGTGACAAGTGACTAGGCCTTGGATATTTTCACAGTATTGTTTATATCTTGGGCTCCATAGTTACTTTCTAACATACTTGGAAAAGGTGTCTCTCTTTTTATAAAACATTAAATCTTGTTGTACTCACCTGTTAGGTTTTTTTGTCTCCTACAGAAAAACCCAAAAAGAAATATCCCAAATACAAAATTTGGAAGAAGAAAAACTAACACCTTCTGATTCATGTTATTCTCACAGGAAGGAAAGTGACGTAGTCTCTAAAGTGGAAATCTGTATTTCTGTCAACAAGGAAAGATAATTCAGGTTAGATTTTGTATGACTGATATAACAAAGGTAACATGTGTATCTCCTGCAGATTTTAGGACAGCAAAAAGACTTTCCAAGCCCTGTAAAATAGGTTTTGCTAATAAGTAAAAATTCTCTTATGGAAAAGACTCACCACAATTATACTGTTAAACCAAACAGATAAATAATATGTCCATTTTGAAGTCTTCCAAAATTCCTCCTTTTTTCAGAACAATGAACTGCTTATGAGCACATACTCTTCCCTTGTCTTTTAAAGCTGTTGGGGAACAATAACTTCATTTAGGATTACAAAGTTGTATTTTTTTATAATATTTAGAATCTAAGAATACAAAGGTCTCTATAACCTGTAACAGGTGTATCCACAAAGACCGGGATATATTCAGGATTAATTTATTTCCATTTATTGCCCTGAAGCTTTGCACTTTGGACAAATAAATCATTGCAGGAGAAACTCTTCCCTATTTTTGCAGAGAATCCATACCACTAATTTGAATTCTCCCATTGTCCCTCTCCAAAGACCCTGCATGGTATATGTGTTTTCTGCCATTGCTGCTGCAGAAGACCCCCACATTGGTTCAGTACGATGGGAAATGTAGAAAGTGGTAAGCAACAGAAAAGGAGTTGTTCCATGTTTTCAGACAGAAGGAAAGAAGGCAGTCCAGCACAACATACCTTCTCTCTTGTGCTCACTCATTGTCTCCTTGCATATCATGAAGAGGGACCTATCTAAATTCTCTGTGCAATCTTACTCTGTTTCCCCCAGTAGAGAGCTCTTCATCAGCATGCTGTTATTGGAATTTGCAACATTAAGTGCAAAACAATAACTACTGGCAAATGAGGCATTCCGTTTCTGTTCTATAAAGTCCACACAATCAAAAAAGTCAAACAGCACTGTCTTCCTTTCCCACTTCTCAAGTTTGCATCCTGAACCTACTGGCAATAAACACATCGTTGCCTGGATTACTTTTTTCCAATATTTTTTCAATTTTTTTCATTTTTTCTTATTTTGTTTTGTTTTTACAAGATACAATAGGACCACTTCTGGTTTCTGGTGTGTTCTGAGACAGCAGTGGAAGCAGTACCAGTTACATTGCTGAAACTGTACTTGAGCACAAGGGTTCCTCCTTTCAGGGCTGGCATGTGATGTTGATATCACACACTTTTACTGGAATATCTGCAGACTCAGAATTAACAGCATTGCTGACAATTAAATCTCTCTTAGCATAGGTATGACCTGGGGAATGGAGAGGGGCACTGTTCACTATTTCTGTATTAAAGATTTACTTGTATTTACAATAAAATGTTACAATACTCATTCAAATTAATGCAGCCTTTTCAGATACAATGGCATTTAGCATATAATATTTTCATTTTCTTGGCTGTATAAAATCATTGTAAAGGCTACAGGAAAGGTTATGGGAAGATCTGCCTTTAACCTTTCCTTCAGTGTACATCAATTCTCATTTCATTATGTGATCCTTGAGTCCTAATGCATCAAAGGCCATTTTCAAGGCCAGCTAAAGTCAGTCAGGTTGTTCATTGATCTCATGAGGGCCAAGATTGAGTGTTCCCTTTTTATTCTTTTTCAGAAGCAGTTTGAAAACACAACTTTACACTGCGTAGCAATTAAAATCTATATGACTCTAAATAATTCTGTACAAGGACCCCGTGTTAGAGTATAGCTAGGAGAAATATGCTGGGCTTCATTCACTTTAAATGCTGTCACTTCAGAGAAGTAATGTTATCATACCTGTCTCAGGAATCAGAAAATGAATTGGATTAATTTTACCCTGTTTAGATACTTGTATCATGTGTATTTAATAATTACACTACCAGTAGAGAATATAAGGTCTGCTATAAGACATATTTCACATGGAAACATGTCAATGAGTTCAATTTTCACAGGGAAATAGAAGAGACTTCCTTGGGGGAAAGAAGCTGTTTAGGAGCTAGTTAAACACAGGAGACAACTCCTAAGACTTATGCATATTTGTGGAAGCAAAATAATCTTTAATTAAATTCAGGAGAACAATCAGACCATAAGAAGGGATAGAACAAGCTCCAAGATGACACATGAACTCTTTCTGGACTCCTTAGAAAACTCCACAGAACAGACTGGCAGGAAGAATTAACACTGCCTTCAACAAGTGGGGTCAACATGACATGAAGCTACCTTAAAGTGAAGCCCAAAGCCTTCTTCAGAAGATGTTTTCAGATGCACGACCCCAGTATGGAGTTCTGTGTAATGCAAAGTTTCCACTGATGAAAATCACCTAAGAGAAACCTGAGGAAGAGGAAGAGGAAGAGGAAGAAAGACAATTCTGAGAGCCATTTTGTCAAAGAGGGACAAGTTGAATGGAAAATATTCAAAATTAAAAGCACTTTTGTCAGAAGGTGTCAGTGTCAGTAAATCAGATGAACTTTTCCTTATATTTATTATGGCTTTTCCATGTACTTGTAATTGTGTTTCCTATTTAAGATGTAATGAGTTAATAATTCTCTTTGCATTTTCCCTCATCCTACCTTGAATTAAGTGTGATTTTAGGTAACTACAAGGCATTCCTCAGTAAAGGAGTGGTGAGTCTATTAATAAAAGAAGTTCATACTAAATAGACTATTTCTGCTGTAACCAAAGGGCGGCAGTATGGGGTCTCCCAGGCAGGATGGAAAGACAGCATCATAAAACTCATGAAACAAAAAAAGCAGAAACTTCTTCTACTGAAAAGTAACAAAACAAGAAACAGGGAGGCAGGGGTCTAAATATCTCTTTGGAGCTTACATGTTCCCAGAATACAAGATCCTAAAAATTAAACATAAGGCATTCATCTGCACTGTTCACATTGTATATGGTGGGGGAAGCAGAGGGGGAGGAGGAGATGGATTTTTGTTTTTTTAATTTTTAATGAAGCATAAAATTTTCCAGGTAACAGCCTGATACACTGCACTGTTGGTTTTTCCTTGTTCTTCAGATCACGTCATTATAAATCAACTATACCTAGCGATGGCTTGATATTTTAATATCTGTATATCTTAGTAGATTCTGAAAATTACATCCAAAATAATTTTCTGATTATTTTTTGGTCATTACTAAAAAGTAAGCCAGGCAGCAAGAATTATCCTCATTGAATCCTTTCTTGCAAGAGTCTTTCAGAATTATTGCTATCAGAAGATTTTTTGAGGCCTGTCTGTTAATTAGTGTTTGATTTCTTCAGTGTGTGTCCAGCTGTTTTGATGTCTTTCTAGCTCCTAAGCTAAAACATGCTGTCATGTCAAATGCTTTGTAGAGTTCTAAATCCACTACATCAATGCTATTGCCTTAATCAACCAAAGCCAAGCAAAAATAGTCAGTCAATCTGGTGACATGTTTCCTATAACATAATCCAAAATTTCTATATGAGAACAAGCAGAACAATTGTTCAAGCCAAGAATGGTAACAAATGGGGAATAGATTACTGGAGAAAGCAATGCAAATCATCTCATGTGCATGCAAAATGGCAAAAAGGCCTGAAGCCATCATAAAATTAAAAATATTTACTGAATTCAAGCCTTCTTTGCACTGTTTAATTCCACCAAGGCCCTTTACAGTTCCATTTCAAAAATTCTTTTCTTTCTGCAAGTAACAAAGCTATCGTCTTGTTCATATTTTTGTTGCCAAATTTTCTGACCGTAAAATGTTCTTCCCATCCTTCTGTTTACTTCAAGACATTTCTGATGACTGGCTGCTTTTAATTACTTCCAACATCTCCCTTTTCTACATGGTACACTGGGTATGGAGGAGGCTGGCAACCTACTTGCAGAAACCCTGTATGGCAGATGAGTCTGTTTGACCCAGAAGAGCGCTCTCTGTATTGTACTTTTCCAGAGGCATCAAAAATTGTCATATGCTGCAGTTATTGGATATTTTTTCTGTTAAATTTCTCTTTCTTAGTTAGTTTGTCTCATGCTTGCTTTATGTTTTGTGATACTAGACCCTCTGCAACCTTCTTCTATGTCTGTTAGTGGTCTGTACTCTAACTGAGCATGTGTAGCTACACCACAACCACTCACACTTATCCATCCACCAGCTTTGGGTTTTAAATGGATCACTTTCCCCCTGACCAAAACAAGGTCTGATAGAAAGTCTCTAGTACTCTTTCAATTAGGAAATACTCAAAGATGTTTTAATAATAGTCACATGAGTACACGACATAACACATCCACACTCAGACTGGAGTTCTTCCTCCTGCCATGCGGATTTATTTCCAGAACAGGCACCAAAGGAATAGATTGCATTGCCTTGCATAGGTATCACTTGTACACTGTCCTTGAACTGCTGAAACAATGATTCATAACATAGCATTCTCTAATCCTTCTTCTGGAGCTTCTGAACCATTGCAATTGCAAAATCTTCAGTATTTAAAGGAATTTAGCAAAAAACCATCCTACTTTAAAATATTTTTATGCTTTCATAAACAATAAGAGGTACTATAGCTGGAAATGTCAAATAATGTTTTTTTTTGTGCGGCACCTATAACCCAAGTACAGAAACACATGTACACACACGTATGTACATATATATATGTACATATGAGCAGTTCCAAAACACATTAATATCAGTTGCACTGGCATATTATTTGCTCCAAGTAAACTAACTAAGTAGGCTGATAATGATTTAAAGTCTTCTGATAATAAACTTACAAAGGTGTGTCTCAAGCTAGTTTTTCACAGACAGACCTTGGTCAGACCTGAGCATGTGGGGTGATCCTCTGTACCCACTAGATATGTGGAACTTTCCACACTAAAAGAATAAAATTATAACAATACTTATTTGTGTTCCTGATACATTTGAAGCCAGAAGTAAAACAAAGTACCAGAATAGCAGCTCAGTGGAAGGTAGGGAAAAATCTGTGAAAACAGATAACATTCTCAGTTGCTGAACCCCATTCTGTACTTAAGCCCTGTTAATTCCTTCAAAAAGACAACTGCAAATACATACATACTGATATGTGCCTGAGTACATAGAAGTTGAGGAGGGAATGTTGGATAGAAAGCCCCCAAAAATAGCCTGGACAAGAAAACCAAGCTCTGGGTGCAGTTCTGCATATGCTGTTTTATCAGAGTGAATTGCAAGAGCAATACCCTTGTTTGACTAAATCTGCAGCACTCTTGCTTCTGTAGTTTGCAATGGGTAGACAGGAGGGAAAAAGACCCCAGAAATTGGAACCTTAGCAGCCAGGCTGGCCTGTCCATAAAGTGGAAAATCAGTAATGGGTTAGGAAACTCACGCATGTTACAGACAGCTGAGGGCTAGAAAAAGTGTCTGATCAGGGTCATTTTGTCAATAAGAGACAACATTTGACATAATCTCATTTGCATTCTTTCTGGTCTCAGAAACTGTAGTGATATCTTCCTTGCTGCCATCATTAATCTGCTTATTATTCTCATTACTCCATTTCTTTTGCCTGCCTTTTAGCTTTTCGTTCTCTACTTAATCCCATGTCATCTCCTTGTCTTATCTTCCAAAGTTTTTTGTTATCTATTATTTCTAATGCAGTATTAAAAGCTCAGCTTTACTTTTTGATACATCATATTGGTAGCCCCTGTTATCATTAGCCCTTGATAACAAAGAAACAGTTCCTGCTTTCTCCTCTGCTGTCCCTGCTTTTGGATTAAGTTTATGAAGCACCTACAGAGCAATTATATTTTTCACCTAAAATCACTCCTAAAAGTTTTCCCTTTCAGGGATGCCAACACCAGCTATGATGCCAGTGTGCTAAAACTGTTACTAACCAGTCCACAAAAGAGCAAGCGAAAGGAAGAGCCAATTTGGGGATGAAAAGGACCAAAGTGAAGAGAAAAAAAAGAGTTCCTTGGGAAAGGCAGCAGCAAGTCTGACAGAAAAGCTCCCAGAGAGAGGCAGGAAGCAAAAACCCAAGGAAAAGTGGTAGAGCTGGGGGCCAAGGGAAATAGAAAGGTTCTGTAGCCTGCTCTAAGGCAGTTTTGGTAAACGGAGGCTTGAGAACTGGACTGAAAAAGACACAAAGTACAATTCAGTGAAGATGAAGAAGAACAAATTCAAAGAAATGAGTATAGAAAACAATATGCTAAGTATCCAATAAAATACCACAGATGTTTAAGAATTAATGAGACTATATGCACTGTAGTCACTCTTGCGCTGGAACCCATCCCTTAGTATGTGATCAAAATTTTATTTCTTTTCCTTCCTGGAACTGCAGCCAGAAAGGCCATGCACTTTTGATTTTCTATGAAGAGGTAGGTTCAGTGAGAAGACCTGGCTTGTGGCTGGGCCCAGCTTGGCCAGAACCTGGAAAGGTGGATACCAGTTCTGCTGCAGCATCACTGGGGCAGGGACTGATGGCCTCAGGAGGCTGACATGGGATCCTGAGCTCTGGGCAGTGGGGGGCAGACCCAGGGGACTGGGCAGTGCCCTGTTACTGCTTTTGGTGCCTGACATCTGATAATGGGCTGTGGGGCCTTTTTATCTAAACACTTAATTCAAAATTCCATGCACTTGTCAACTGCCATTTAAATCCTGCAAAACCAAACACCAGAGAACAAACTTCACTACTTTCTTTTATGGAATCTAGATAAGCCGAAAAAACTTGGAAAGAAGAAAAAAAGGAGGAAAAAGGAAGCACAGAAGAAAAGTTTAGAACAATGCACCCTGGCCAGGGTGGTAATGAATGATCTCCTCCCAAAGTTGTTTCACAGGAGATGGGCCTCGCAAAATCCTTCTGCTTTGTCACATGTATAACTAACTCTCTGCCTTTGTATATGTCTTCGTGTGGTCTCCCATGTTTCTGTTCTCAGTTAATGTCAGTAATAGCAATATTTTCCTTGCCATTCAGGTCTACCTGTGTGTGTCTCAGATCTAGATCCTCTTTGACCCTTCCTGCTTTTTACCTCCTGGGGCAAGCATGATTCATATATTCCTGCCACTGCACGCCAAATAGCACAGTCAAAACTGTTTATAGAAGTCCCAGTTGCTTAGCACACCACTCCCAGGCAAACTCCTGTTTGCTGTTCACCTTGTTACACCCCTGTGTCCCCATCCCTAGTACCTCTTAGCCATAATTTATGACAGCTATGACCTCTCTTTCCCTCTTTACACTCCAGTGAATACAAAGCGTTTCTGTTTAAATGGTTTTCCTTTTTGCTCCTATCTCCTCCAGCTTCTCCTGTCATTCTAGTCTAGATTTTGAACCTTATTTTCAGGATCCAAAAATTTTGTCTGAAACCATACCTCTACTCTCATTACCCCCACTCTCTTTTTTATACTCCTTCAAAGACTCCCTTACAGGAGTCATGTACAATCCTATCACCAGTGATTTGGTGTCTGCCCTTTTACAGAAATAACCTCTTTGCTTGAAACATCCTGACACAAACTGTGTGTATACCTTTTTCTCTCTTCCTACATGAATCTAGGCTTACTCTTTCTTTCCCTTCTGCTCTCTTCTGTGTTGCAGGGCAAGCTGTTCAGCAGAAATGTTATGTTTAAGGTATGTTTCTATGAAACATGTTTTTATAGCATACTATGACACTTGCAGTATCAAAAATTAAGAAGTTTGGAGACAGTAGGATTAAAGTGATAATTTAAATCATAGAGAGCATAAAATGAAGTGTCTGCTGGCTTTTGGCAGAACAGTCTTGAAACTAAAGACTTGACATTTCAGAGCATTTGACATAACAGTACACTCTAAGTTCAAAATAGTCTTGTGGATTCAGTCACAGATAAAAATGCTTGAAAAATGTGCAAATCTGCTTTCCAGAGTTGGCTCATGTATCCAGAAAATGGAGAATGGTCAGTCAATGAGTGTCTGAAAAGGTGGGTTCCCCACACTACATGGGATTATCATAGTAGACAAAGAACATAAATTCTCCTTAAAAATTCTTGCCTGGTTTACTACATGCCTTCCTTCATCTGCCATAGATAGTAGGGATCTTATTGGACAGCCCTTGAATGTCTCAAGAACATGTTCATCCTGTGAACCAAACATGTCAAATTGTGTGGAGTATTTTGTTTCTTTAAAAACCAGGTGTTGAAAAGGTACTCAAAAAAAGTATTCATGAAGTATCACAACAACATACACAAAAATCATTGTCAGGGTTGAATCAGCTTCCTTAACCAGTCTTATTATGCTCACTCTAATGGAATAACCAACAGTGACAGCAGATTGCTGTCTTGTGAACAAACCCAGCATCAACAGTGACAAGCCCCAAACTCACCAGTCTTACCTGCTGGCAGCAACAAAACAGTGAGGCTTGGCCATGTGGGATGCCATTCCTGGCACTGAAGGGAAATTGTCCATAGCACAGCTTGTCCCTACTCCCCCTGCCTCAGCATTAGCATGCTCTGCCCAGACTCTTCCTCTCCTGGTACCCCCACTCTTTGCACTCCACTGTCCAGCAGCACTCCAACACTCCTGCTCAACACATATTTGCATGGGTACCAGAGCTTTTCCCTTAGCCCTCATCCCAGGTGTGACCCCATTTTTCCCAGTCCCTTTTTCTACTCCTCAGGCAAAACTTTAACCCAATCTCCAGCAAATTCTCACCTCCAAAAGCCTTCCTTATATCGTCCCCAGGCAGCTCACCCAGCAAATCCTGTTTTCCAGCTTCCCAAACAGCCATCAGATCTCACCCTGATTCTGCTGTTCAGCCTTCCTCATGCACAAGCCAGCTCTTTGCTGGCTCCCTCTGCCAGACTCCTCCCTTTGTCTCCTCAGTCAGCCTCACAGCCCCCCCTTGTACACCACACTTCCGAGCCCAGCTCATCAGAACTGTCTCTCCTTCTACTTCCAAGATTCCCACACAGCCCCACTGCTTCTCACTCTCAGTTCTGTTCTCAGCTAGTTCCAGGCTCTACATTTCAGCTTCTATAGTTATTTTAGTATCTCCCAAGCTAAACAGACACATTTTCCTTTTCATTCCCTCCCACATCAATTTTCACACTAGTCATCAAGGCACATTTTCCTGCTGATTTTGTTCCTTGAATCTATTTTGCCAGCAATCCCCAATTACTTCTCCCTAGAAATCTTGCTCATTCTTGCTCTTTAAAGCAGATTATTTACTCTCCTGTGCAGAAGAGGTTCCACTGATAATGTACAAGAGGAAACTCTTAACCTCATTTTTGAAATGCTTATTTCAAAATCTGCAATGTACCTGAACTTCTTAGAGAAAAGGTCACTGGAATCATTTGAGAGAAGAAAAAAGAGCACAGATTTCCTGTACAAAAATCAATAAATTATTTTTGCTCAAAGTGATTAAAAAATATCCTGGAACAGATATCTAGCCTGAAAAATTTCTGCTGAAATGCTTGAAATTTGACAGAATCCTATGTAGATGCAAACTGTATTGAAATTAGAAGAGTCAAGATGCATACCACCCTTAATAAAGTCAGAAAGTGAATGAAAGTCATTGTCATTTCATTTCTGGCACCAGAATCCCTGTAAAATCAACTTCTTAACTGGGGAAAGCCATAGCAATGAATAATAGGCTGCCAAAAAAATCCTCTGTAGATTCCTTACAGTGTGATTTCAAAAGCTAAACAATGTCTCAGTTTATGCCTTTAAATATTTTATGTCAATTTCTAAATATATAAACAAATAAAAAACCCAACCAACTCTGAAAAAGAAATCTCTCTTTGCAGAGATTTGCCTACACTTACAAAATCATGGTGATATGAAAAGCTACTAACAATCCAATTTTACTCACCAATCAGACAGCCTCAGTGGAGATTTCCCATGCCTCTGAGTGATGCTAAACAAACAACAAAGATTCAGACAAAGAAATGTCAGTCTAGAGAGACATGTCATTTTAATTTTATGCCTAGGGATGGAAAGGAAATAGGGGAAAGATTTTGTGTTCTCCTTACCTGATCTTTAAGTCTGGGCAAAGTGCTTCTGTATCCACACAGATTCTTTCATGGGAGAGCATTTGAAACACTTTGTACACGTTGTATTTGTCTATGCCCCACTAAAAGTTGCCAGCGTTTCCCTGAGAATGTTTAGGTGAGCACCTCCAGTTGCACATTACAAAGCACTGTGCTGTGTCTGTCTGTAGGTATAACGAGCAGCATTTAACCACTCCCCGTGCAGGGTCTACAGCAGCTGTTAGAGACTGCCAAGTGCCTCAAGAGCAGCCTGCCAAGAGGCTGCCTGCTAAGCAACCCAGAAAGGGAATAGTTGGGAATATGAGGACAAAGGTAATTTGGTTGAGAGCAATTGTGCTGTGATAATATGCATTATTTTTAGATTGAGAAAAAGAGGCAAGATCAATTCAAATGAACTCTATACAAGAAGACTCCAATCAGCTCTGGGAAATGGAAGGTAAGTTCTCATGGGAAGCATGGCTAAAGAAGAAGGAATTCAGTAGAGTTGGCACATCCTTAAAGAAATTATGTTTAGGGTACAAACACAAACAATCCTACACAGCGGGAGGATAGGAAGTATAGTCAGAGACCAACTTGACTACTTGGCTAAGCAGCACAGTCTTCAGTGACCTGAAACGCAAGAAGGAAATGTACAGAAAGTGGAAACCAGGTCAAACTCCTAAGGACAAGTATGAAAAAATAGTAGTAGATGCTGAAACCAAGTCATAAAGGATAAAGCACAAAGTTAACTGCAAAAAGCAATGGATAAAAGAGATAGCAAGAAAACAAATCTGGAAGGAAAAGAAAAACCTAGTGATAGTTCACTTGCGGAAGGCTGATGTACATTTTCCATCATTCTTCATAAAAGGGTGAACTGTAATTATATGACTAATAACTAAACTCAGTAAGAAAGAATCTATCTAAAATAGGAAAAGAACAGGGCCAAAAATAATTTTAATATACTGCAGTTCACATCATCCTCAAGTATACCACTACTGCATGTCTCCAGGAGAGCTCTCTAATTATTTTTGATACACTAAGTGTCCCTGGACTGATAAAGGGACCTACACCCCTGCACAGATGCAGGAGGCTCCTTCATAACCTGCTAAAGAGGTGAAGTGAGTCCTATACAGGCATCTAATCTTTGGAAGTGCATATTAAGATACTTGGCAACTGAGAGAAGCAAGGTCAGACCTGTTTGCTTTGTCTAGAAACTCTCTGAAGTTGTATGAGAAATGTGTGGAGTGGTGAATCAGTGCTCATCTCTATAAAGTCAAGAAATAAAAAAGAGATCAATTCTGGAAAAAAATATTAGAAAAAAAATGAAAATATAGATTATTCATAAAAGGTTGGAGATACTCAAGCTACATTGCTTTGTATTTTTTGGCATATTGGCTATTCATTTCTGTAATATGGCAAGAAGTCTTACAAATAGAAAAGCAGTAGGTCACACAATATGTTTTCATTTTAATAATGCTATTGACATTATAGCATTGACTCATAACATTTTCAAAAGTATATTAAAGTGAAACTATTTCTGGAAGAGTGAAAAACTACCTGGGTGAAGGGAACAAACAAGGAAAAAAAAAAACCAAACCAAAAAACCAACAGCAAAACCACAGGCTAAAATGAGCTTTTCATCATTCACTATTAAACTCAAAAAATAATCAGTAAGATTCTAGCTGGCTAAGTAATGGTGCAGGTCATTAATGATTTGGATAAAGGAACAATCCTTCTGCCTCACAGATAACAATAAGTCCATGTGAGCAGTAAGGTCATTGCATGATACATTAAACTTAGAATGCTTTCAACAAGATAAATTATCTGTAGGAGAAAACACACGACAATGAGTTGTGTTTACAGGCATCAGGTTCTGAGGGGGAATAGTAGTTCATAAAAATGTGGCAGACATCCTGCCAAAAAAGGAATAAGAGGGGTACCAGTCAGTCACAAGTTATTAATGAAAAAGTAGTGTTTCATCCTATCAAGAATGCCAACTACATATTAGGAAGAGAAACTGCTTTGATTGTATATTTGGTTGATACATTAAGGAATACCTCCTATTATATTTCTGTCTAGCACAGCAACCAGTAGCCCTGTGTCCTGTTCAAGCAAAACTGTTCCAATAGAAGGCAGACCAATTGGAAAGGGTCCAGAGAAAAGCAGAGAAAATGGTCAGTTGTCTTGGGAAAAAAGAAAAGCCACAAGAAAGAGAGATTGAAGTTTAATTTAGTTTAATTCAGTTTAAAGAACAGAAGGACAACTAAACACATGAAAATTATAATCTACACAAGTTACCGATAGGGAGGTAAGGAGGAATTTTTTTGTTTCATCTGTAGTGGATAAAGTGATGGGTTCAAACTATGACACTGAAGGTTAATGCTAGGTATTAAGGACGTCTTATTAACAGTAAAGACAATTAGATCCTTTTTCATGTATGAGGTACTATTGATTCTCTTTTGGAGCTTCAAAATCCACAAGATGAAGTCTTGAGGTCTTGTCCAGTCTCCTTTTCTTTAAGTCTGTGGTTCATCCTGTTGTATAATTTAGATGCCCCATCTTACCTCTCTACAAAAACTACATTTATCAAAGTTTTCATGCTAAATTATACAAACCCAGACTGTTATTTCAATATAGTGACTCTGAACCAATAAAGCCACTATGGGGCTTAACACAGCCCAGACTGGCATGATGTCACTTTTTCTACTGCAAGTCCCATTAGCTCTCATAAGAAATGTGAAGAGTTTTGGCAAAAGGACTGCTGTCTTCCAGAAAATAGTATATCTGGTACACTGGTTGTACACTGCTAATTCAACTGCCGTAAATTTGTTCTTTCCTCAGGATTCTAATGGAGTCTGCTAGGGAAGTCTTCTTATCTGCTGAAGCCTGCCTTTTTGTAAACTACTCCACCAACTGCTAACAAGACACAGAGCTCATTTGCCTCAGGGGCCACTGATTATGATCAGAGATGAAAGACACAGAACTGAGTGAGATGAGATGTGGGCAGAAAATATGGAGACACACCTTGTTAGGGGGCTGCAGAATCAGGTTGCTTCCTCTAATGATTTTTCATGTGCTCATTCTTCGTATTAATCAAAATTCCAGATCACATGAGTTTAATAAAATATCCTCACTTGGCAGAAAATATTAAATTCCTTTTTCCTGTCTTCCACCAAAGATCCAATTCTGTCAAAGTACAGACATTCTTGGCCAAAGAACTGTATCATATAGACGACCAGCTGTCCTGGTTTAGGGCAAATCTGGGAGGAAACTCAAAGAAAATCTCATAGAGGGATGTTGGTTGCACTAGTGCATTACAGAAGTTCCAAGGACATGAGACTCCATTGCCAACAAATACCAGTGTTGTTCATTACCTGTATTGCCTCTGCAATTTGCTTATAGACACAAGTTCAGGTGATTTTGTACAGAAAAAATTTTCTTTGAAGCAGTTTTAATCTTGCAGAAAAAAAACTATTTCTCAAATTTTATAAACTATTGGAACCAGGAAAAATCAATTTGATACTCCTTACTCTTTCTTGGCTTTCTGAATTTCTATTGAACTCTGCATTTGTCTAAAATATACAAGGTAATCTGTTTCTGTGAAACATACTTTTCAAATTCAGAGTAATATCCAGCATAGCATGAAATTCATGCTTACTCTATAATAACATACTGGAGGAGTCATACAACAAGTTTTTTTCCACAAATTCATTTGCCTACAATTTTTCTCTGGGTAAACCTTTCAGATTTTGCTGAAGTAAATTTTTGGTGAGGGCTAGGTATTTCACCTCAAATAAGGCTGAGAAGAAAATAAACTAAACCCTTCATTTATACTATCAGAGTTTAAAAGCTTTATAAATCAGGGAAAAACTTTACATCAAAAATAATGTCTGTCCCTCTGTTTAAGCAACTATGACCACATCCATCTAAATCCATGAGGCAACATTAGTGACTAAGTCCCAAAGGATCTGCCAA